TAAGAAAATAATAATAATGAAGCAAAATGATAGGAAAGAGGCACATGTTTCTGTCGGGGTATCGGTCATTCGAGCACGTTTTCAATGAGTTGACCGACCTGATTTAGCTGCTCTTCAGCTTGCTTTTGTTGCACTGGGTCGATCGTGGCTCGCAACAATTCTGTCACTTTTCGTACATCCATCTTGTAATTGGTTTCCTGGTAGACGATGGTGTCCAAATTTTTGACTCTTCTTCACGAATTCGACCCGACGCATTCACCTCGCTACTCCCTCGTCACGTGACACAACAATATGGCAGCCAAAGCTGATGTGCGTTATATCCGGCCATTGAGTACATAAAAATTAGAGAGGAAACTAGCAAACTCACTAAATTGCAAAAATATAGATAGTAAACTGCGTTATAACAGATACATGTGCAATAGCTATATTTGTTTATAGGTCATCGGTCGGTCAAAACATTGTAATCGTAATTGTATGCGACACAGTGAGAGCTGCACCATTCTTGCACTATTGCGTTGATTTAAAAACAGATATAAATAAAGATTATTTAAAAACTTTTAATTAAGTGAAAGTGTTACAAATTTCATTGTAAAACGAAAACAGTGATATGTTGCAGTTAATAAACCTTCCTGACATTGTTCTGGAGACAATTTTATCTAACCTTACATACGATGAAATTTCTCGATATAGAATTGTAAGATTATTTTTCTCTTTCTTATATGTTGTTGGTTATTTGTTTAAAATTATATAGCGAAAGTTTTGAAAAATTGTTTTAATAGGTTTGTAAACAATTTGATCGAATATGTAAAAAATTATTAAACCGAGGTTTTAATTTGATGGAGAAATACCATGCACAATGTTTGCGTGCAGTAAAAAGTCAATTACCACGAAGAGAATCGGAACGAAGGAGTCATCCTTTGGCACGTCATTGTGATATATTAACAGCAATTGAAACAAGAATATCTATGTTGTCTATGACTTTTATAAAATATGTAGATCTTAATCTATGTTGTTTTATTCCTGGAAAGGTAAGGTATCAATTGTTCTACAGCAATTTGGATATATTAAATTTATATACATTTACATATTAGGTAATTGATGAAATTTTTCGAGTTCTTCGTTTGATTCGAGATTCTAAAACTCCACCTAGAGCTCATGAAATACTTCAAGAACTAAGAGACATTAGTAGCATGGCTATGGAACATTTTGATGAGAAAATCCTACCAGATTTGAAGCATAGTATTTGCACATCTGTTGTTAGTAATGTAGGTTCCTATGAATTACCAGGTGGAAGTTTAATGATTTCTCATCATACTACAAATCCAAACAATGCAACACTGCCACATAATTTTAATTCAGAAAAGTTAAATCAGACATTTAAGAAAATCTATAGTCGTACAAAAAAAAATAAATTATCTGTTCTATCTATGAAAGGTCAACTAAGTAAAATGAAACTTCGAATGAAAAGGCAAGGTTTTCAAATGAGATTGCAAAGTTTAAAATTACAAGAACAGGCAAAAAAAATTCATGATCAAGATACACAATTAGCTGAAATGAGAAAACATCTTGAAGAGTGGGAACAAAAAATGGTTGATTTAACAGCTGAACTAAGTCGTGCAAGAGAAGAAACACAAAAACCTGATTCCATAGAAACTTGCAAAAGAAAACATATAGATATAATTAATCAGAGGGAGACTGATTCCTTACAAACAAAAGAATTGCAAGCAAAAAAACGAAAATTAATAGTAGAAAGAATATCATCTACTGATGCAAAAGATGTCAAATTTAAAAAATTTATGACTGATCTTCTTGCAGGTAATGCTGTAGAAGGATATCCTTCAACTTCACATTAACTTGTTATTTGTATATAATGAGGTTGTATATGAAAAGCAAAATTATTATTCTATGTGTATTTTGCATTTTTTATGTTACAACTAAATAAATCTAAATGTTTAAACTTTTTACATATTTAAATTAAACCTATGTAGCTACTTTTATAATATAATTTAAAGGTATTTGAAAGTATAATAAAATATTTAATAAAAGGATAGTATGCAAAATAAAATTAAGATATTATTTTATTTTAAATTGATACTTTTCATTTAATGAATGAATAAAAGTTAAACTTTTAATTAAAAAAAATTTGAGTTATAAATATATGAAAGATAAAATGTGTTATAATCTTTTACAGTTTAGAGCTGGCATATTATTAAAAAAGAATATGCAAATAAATATAATGGATTATATATTTAATTATTGTATAAACTCAAAATGCAATCAATAAATGTATTAAAACTTATAATTGTATGCAATAGTGTGACATATATTATTTTAAATATACTACTAAAAAGTAGATATTAACTACAAAATTAAACCTTAGATATCAAAAAATTGATATATATTTAATTTGTTCTTATTTATTTTAATATCAAGTGCATATAATTATATATGTGTATATATAGACACACACACACACACACTCACACCTGTTTTAACCATAAAACTTCCGAAATTTTTGCCAGTACTCATTTTTATATCATCTATAATAATGTTAACAGTCAAAGTTAATTATATTATATTTTTACTAGAAAAAGATAAGATTTTATATGTGAATGTATACATACTGAAATAACATTTGATATGATACTTTCTACAATTGTTTCAACATCCCTTAAAGGAGTTCTATGTGTGGATTTTAACACTGCTTCTGTAATATATATTGTTGAACATGTTTCGGGCTAAAACAGTATAATATAATGTTAAATAGCAAAGAATCATAAGTAAAGTGCTCTAAGATATGTTAAACAATTGTTACCATCTTTTCAATGTCTAACCCTGTACTTAAATTTATTTCTTCCTGTTTTTCTTCATATTTTTTATCCAATAAACGTGTGTTTTCGGTAGGTGATAAATTCAATATCTCTTTATAAATTGCAGCATGTGCATTCTGTAAATAAGCTTGTTGCTTTTCCCTTATATTTTTCCGTATAGTATTTTTTTCCACTTCAGGTAATACAAAATTGTAAATCATATTAGCTACCATTTCTTCTTCTATTAATTTTGTTGCCCTAACGAATAAAAGAATTAAATGCATTAAAAGAAAAATAATTGTATAAAACATTTGTCATACTTGACTTGTGCATCTTTTGATATACTGTCTACTTTATCACATAATTCTATAATATAGGCTTTGGTTGCTTCATCAGATACCCATTCAATGCCCTCTTTTATAATATCTTTTAAATAAATTTCTACGGATTCTTGATTAACTTTTATAATTTGCCTAAACATTTCATCGAATTCTCTACGACGATTATACTCAAATTGACGTCTTCCAGCTTCTGCTGCTTCTCTCATAGCTCTTTCTCTTTCAGCTAATAAGGCAAAAGCGTGTATTCGACGTTCATCTTCTAATCTTATTAATTCCTTTTAAAAAAAGAAAGAGAAATGTCACAAAAAATATATCTATTCCGCTTTAATAATAATTTAAGATGAATCCTACTTTACTAAGAAAGTCTAACATTCCAGAAATAGTCGCTCCTTCTAAAGAATTCAGAATTTCGCTTAAACGATCTTCTTGCATAGATTTTTCACTTTGCAAGTGCTGTAATGCTAATGTACGCTCTTTCTCTTTTTGATGTCGTTTTTTGCTATGTTCTTCCAATCCATAAGCAGACTGTAGTTCTTCAATTAATTCTCTACATCTATTGCGACCTTCGAACATCTATAAAAAAGTTCATTCTAATATAAAAATTAAATTGATGAAAACTCTCTATTTAATGATTACCATGCACTGTACAGCTCTTCCTCTAATAACTTTTTGAATAAGGGTAGACAACTGATCTACACGTGCGTTTGTTACATTTTCTGTGCTTGCTTTATATGGAGTAGGAGGTAAAGATGGTAATTTATACTTGCGCTTTAACAATGTCGATGTCTCTATTGTTGTAGTACTTAATCTAATTGCCTTCAAATCAGAATGTAATTGGCTTAATTTTTCTTTTGTCCATCTTGTTGCTCTGACACAGAGATCAGTTTGTTTAGGTTTTGGCTTTATTGTACTTAGTTCCTCATATGTTGGAAGCCAGCTTGGCAATGTACTTATTTCAGTTACATCTAAAGTAACAAATATTGAAAAATATAATACAAAAAATTGTAATGTAATGTTGTTTAGTAAATAAATTTATATTTACTTTCAATATAGCTTTCTCCCAATAACTCTTTTTGTATTATTTCATGTCGTCTTTGAGGATGTTCTCCATAACGCATTTGTGGCGCATATACTTCGGACGATGGATCAGCATGTTCTTTAATAATGTCACGTTTAACAGGTTGCTGTTGTTGATGTTTTTTATAGAGCTTTCTCAATTCTCTCCTAAGATTATGTTTAATAGAACCTATTTCTTTATCTCTACGCGTAAATAAAAAATTTTTCAATCTATCGAAACGATCTTGAATTTTTCTCTGTTTTTCATATTCACGTGATTTAGTTATTTCATTCATTAGTTCAAGTCTATAATCCATTATTGCTTGAATTTCCTAAATGAAAAATTTTTATTTATCAACCATCTTTTTTATAAAATGAGTGTACATAGTATATATGTTTTAACAATAAATATTTACTGATTCTCTAAATGCCCATTCATCTATTTCTAATGCATTTATCATAGCTGTCCGTTTTTTTACGTTAGCTGGTGTATCCATAGGAGGAAGAATTGCTTCCCATGCTCTTTTCTTTCTTATTCTGTTAATAATCTCTAATTCATGAAGTCCAACTGGTAATCCATGATTCCAAGTTAAATGTACTATTGATAGTACTTCAGGATTATGTCCTGAAAGTGTAATGATTATATTAAGCAATATATAAAACGTAAATTAAATCTAGTATATTTTACCTGTCTTAATTCTGTATGACGGTTCCCAAGGAACAGTTTGTGTTTCACTATCTCGATAATCTGTCTGAGTTCCCACATTTCTATGTGGTTCTGGCTTAGGTAAAAATGCATAACTTTGTTTTTGTGCATTTGCCACTATATCATTTAGAATATCCTGGTTAAAACGTACAGAAATGTCTACATTTTGTGTTCTTGATACTAAAAATGGTACAATTGGTCGACGAAAATATTTATAACTATTGCAGTACGTAATTTCGGCTGATTCTTGATATCCAGCCATTATCCTATAGGTATTAAATATAAAAGTAATTATACATTCTCAGCTATTTCTCAATTTCAACATAGTGTATAGAAACACTGACGTTTAGTTAATGTAAATACCATACCTGCAAAGGAAAAGATTATAATTCTAGATTACTGTTTAATGTGTTAACTTGCTTAAACTCTGCAATCCAATTTTCTTTTGCACTATTACACTGTTTCTTCAAGCTATGTTTTAAATCTTTTTCTTTGCTTTTATATATAGGTATATTCTTGCATGTCTTCTGTAAAATTATGAGCATGGAAAGTTAAAAAAAAATTGTTTAAGAGTAAAGAAAGAACTAATTTCATAAAGAAATACAAACTTCTTCTAGATCAGGTTTTTTGAATTTTATTTTATTACCACATGCAGTATAAGAAAATTCTATGTACATAATTATATAACAAAATAAAAATCATATGATTAGTCATAAAAAAATGTATTATAATGTATAGAACTTACGGTTCAGTGTTTATCTTTTAGACATGATGTTTAAAAATTAATAATTACGAACTGCACTTTAATATAAATTATCTTAATACTTCAATTTTTATTAATTAATTCGTTTGTATCAGAAACTCAAAAGTACAATATAATCCTCTGTAACAAAGAAAGTATTTGATAGTAGTTGTTTAGAAAAATTTTGTTCATCAAACAAATATTGATCAAACACCTAACTTCACAATTCTTAAAATCACATTGTAGAATTTTATTTCATTACTGTATCATCAGTAAAAAAGGTTTTAATAAATTTTAATAAAATTCTACTGATTGTAATATGTATTTTATGTATTATTAATGCTTTACATATAACAGTAATTAATAGTTTACTTTTATTACAGTTACATTAAACATTATAAATATTCTCAAAAAATAATATAATGAACAAATTAATTATGCAATAACTGACAATCTTATAATTTATGACACAGTTGAATTACACAATTTACATATATATGTAAACATTTCAATGCATTTAACATATTTATTATTAATATTATATTCTTAGAATGCTAGTATCAAATTATAGGTATTGAGGTTTACAGTGACTTTTTTCATTATTTAATAAACACATATTTAAAAAATATCAATAAGTAATTATAAGTCATATGTAGAATTCTTATTACAATACTGTTATTTAAACTCTATTGTTTGCAATGAATTTTAAATATTTATTTAAAAAAATATATACTTAATTTTTTGTGTAACAAAATGTAAAATGTAAAATAGAAAATTATTTTAATGAATGTAATGTAGTTTTGCAAAATGTATAAAAAAATAATTAATATATATTGAACTTATTCAAAAGTTTGATTTATAAAGTGGTTTAAAATATCCATTCCCATGGGAACCCAAATATTCAGACCAACTTTGATGTGAAGATATATTTTTACAACTTTGATTAGGTAACATATCTTCTGGGCATGTGCATTCTAGTCTCAGTCTGTATATTGTCATTTGTCCAAGAGAAATTTTAAAATTTTGTTTGTCATTTGTTTCTTTCTGTGCATTGTAATTAACACCACGTTCATCTAAGCATTCTTTAATAATGTCATCATTCTGTTTGTATTGCAGGTTTTTTTGTGATAACATTTTTTTCCAATGAATACAATCTAAATCTTCCTGAACTAATATTACAGGTACTTCAGAGGGTGGTAACCAAAATGTAGAAAATACCAAATCTACGGAAGCTATTCCTTGCGATTTTAAAATAGAGGGTAACAATATTCCAGTCGGCGGTTGTTTTTGTACACCATATGCTGGATATACTTGATTGCTTTTGGTTGTTATTTCTCGTTTCTTTTTTTGGTTTTTTAATTTTGTTTTAAATTTATCTGTTAATTCAATTTTTGACTTTGCATTGATATCTCTCTTTTTATTTTGATTTTTTAACGATTCCCGTTTAAAAATTTGTTCTATGTCGGCAATATCTTCTTCATTTGGTATAATATTAGAAGAATCACTAGCATAGGTTTTTACAACATCCTGAAATAAAGAAATTTCATTCATTATATTTTTTTTCCTGTAAAACGTTTCTTTAAGCATCAATTACTTATACATATTGATAATCTTACTACAAAAGGTTGATCAGTTGTATCTTTTGTTTTATTTATATTATCTTGCAACAAAGTTGCTGTTCTTTTAATTAATATTACAGTTTCCGCATCAGTATTTCTATTGTTTTCAGTGTCACGGTTTGTAGAATAATAATTAAAGAGTTCAGAATTATTTACACTTTTATCAAGTTCATCGCTAAGTTTACGATTAACGTTATCTTTTTGTTCTTGTACATCATTTACTCGTTGGAAGTCTAGTGTATATTTTTTTTGTTCATTCATTTTATCATTCTCATTATATAACATGTCATAATCTTTACTTGTTTCTCCTCTTTTTTGTGTCCATTTATTTTCGTTCCTCAAAATATCATCATAAGAATCACTATTCATTACATTAGATTTATCTTCATGTTCTTGTTTCAATGTATTTTCTTTTGGTGATCTTTCAGATAGAAATGGTGCATTTGCGCGTAGTTCAACTTTAGAATTCATAGAATTATTATATTCTAAAGACTTCCAATCTTCCGAAAAATATAGTGATACACCAGGTGGCCCAACATGTTGACTCAAGGCATATAAATTTGTAATTAGAGTGGAGTTAAATCTCAGTTTACAAAGGTCAGCACGTGATTCAGATATAAGATCTTCACTTTTTAAAAACTGATATTTTTCTTTAATTCCTTCATAGTTTAGACAATCAACAGACCAATGTAAGAACCAATCATTTCCAAATCCCTCAACAGTTACGGATAAACCAGACATTTCTCTACTTAAACTGTCTTCTATTGGTTTCTCTAGTAAAGATTTACCAGTTTTTCCATCTATAATTGTTGCAACTGTGTAATAATATGTTGGAAAACCTGAGCCTATTTGATGTTTTACCATAAAATCTGGAATATTATCATCATTGTAATAACCAGGAATAGGTATACTTATTACTTCAGAATTAGGGACTGTATAATTCCAAAGAGGTTCAAATGTTAATCCATCATAAACTATTATTGTAGAGTTAAACATAGCAGCAACAATATCTTCAATTCCATCCAATGTTACATCTACTAAAATTGGAGGTAATAAAGTTCCCTTTCCTGTGTCATGATGGAGTTTTCGTAATTTCTGCAATATATATTTCTGTATAATACCTATTTATATGCTATCTGTAAATTGAGAAACTTACCAAATTGCCATACATTAAATTCACCTGAGGAATTACATACAATCCTCCTGATTGTTTTTGACTGCTAGTTACAAGAACAAAAATACTTTCTCCATCTGGATGGATTAATTTTTGAGGTGCTAAAAACAATTGTTCTGTATTTGGTAAAATTGAACTATGTATAATACTTCCATTGATTCCTGATATTATTAGAATTTCACTTGAATGAAATTCTCTTGATTGTACAGTGTGCGATGCAATAATATCTCCAATATCATCTCCATCAATATCAGCAATAAATTTAGCATCATAAATATCTGAGAGTTGCCACTCTTCTGATACTGATGGTATTTCCCATATGCTAGCTCCATTGTGTCCATTAACTGCATGAAATATTCCACCCCTACCACATATAATACAATCTTTAATTTTATCATTTGTTAAATCCAAACCACAATCAACTGACAAAATTGCATGAGCTGTCCAGTGCATCCAAAGTGTGTCTCCAGTTTTACCATTTAAAGCTAAAACTCCACCAAAACATGGAACTTGCCCTTCAAAGTATAATGCACAAATATAATCTGGAGTGTTTACCACATCTAATCCTGTATACCAAAATAATATAGACTTTTAGTATAACCCTATACAAAT